GCATTGTGACGTTAGCGATCAGAAAAATCCACCGAATAGGTTTGCGTAAACCTACGTTCAGATAGACGTATTTCCGACCATAGGTTGCAATTGGTTTTCCATTTGCAGCCTGTAGGTTGAAGTTAGGATCCTTCTGTCGATCTGCCTCTGTAGCAGGAAGGACGCTGACTTTGGCGCCTGTGTCGACTAGATATCTAGTCTGGCTCATTACATCGTGGATGTAAAGTAAACGGCTAGTGCCACCAGCGACGGTTGCCGCTAACGCGTGCCGGCGGGATAGTTTCCCACAGACTTGGAGGCTTTGCCGAAATCACAAGGTTTTCGACAACATTTCGCTTCTTTGCCATAGGTGTTGTGGTACCAACACCAGTCAGGATTTTTGAGAGCACGTGTGTTGGACTTAGATCGTCCACGTGCGTTTTGCCGTTGAGGGTATTTAGAGCGACGATAGGAGGAATTGCTAGGCTTGTTTGACCTAAGCATCTGCTGGACGGAGTTGATTAACTCTATCATTGCAGAATCCTTCCTCGAAGTTTGTTCGGTAACAGAGTATACTTCGGTAACTGGCCGTTTCGTTATCTCTAGAATTCTATCTGCAGAGACAGCTAAGTCATCTATGAGAACACTTTGAAGTGTCACAAGTACAGTCTGAACTGACTGTGGCAGTTTGGATAAAAATAGTTCTCTAAACAGTCCTTCATCGAACTGACTTTGGCCAATGATCTCTTTCATTCTTGCCAGCATGCTCACGGCTGACTGATCTCCTAACTCGATGTTACGAAATAACTCATCCAGACGTTGTCGATCTGTGAGAACGTTTCTATTGAGGATGAATGCTTTGAGCAACTCGTACGAGTTACTTACCGACATCTGCAGAGTTACGCACCTGCTGAATTCCCGCGGTAGGGCGTGAATAACTGCAAGGAACTGTGAACGTTGATCGGTTATGCCATGTTCACAAAAATCGGACTCAGCAATCTGAAACCACATTTCAGCATTATCTGGCCAATATGGTACTAGCTGGATTGTTTTGGCGGTTGAGCGAATCTGAATAACCTTGGGGCTAGGATCACTCATGACGAAAAGTATGCCGATAACAATATAGTACAAGAATAAACACAAAAAGGAACGAACTCACTGGGTTTATCTGCGTGTGAATTGAAGATGTAGTTCGTGGTTGGGCTCACCAGTTTAGTGATTGTCGGGTATCGACGTTCGCGAGTTGTACGGATTATACTAACGCAAGATCTTATACCAACAACTTCTATAGTGTTCGTTCTTCGAGTACCAAATGGTAAAGCAAAAGACCAGATTTTGTCGTCCAAAGTACGTATTATATTTCGGGACAAAATCGCGGATAGAGGTGAATGCTTAGCTAGCTAGTAATCGTGCACGCACGTGACACGACGAAGCACCAAATGGCGGGGATGCTTGACCGTAAGCCTTCAGCTAAACAAGTCGACTTAAACAGTGATGGTCAGCATCCAATGTTGAGTGATGATTGCTGTGGTTAATAATTTTGGGGAATTATTTACCGCTAAAGTATAATCCGTAGAACTCGCGAACGTCGATAACTGCAACCCCTAAAACAGGGTTGATTAAAGTTCAGTCAAAACCGAAAGAGGATCAACTCAAAACCAGTACCATGAGGAGTAGAAGTGAGATACTGTGATAGAAGAAATGAATAAATTAAAACATTAGTCATCAAATGTCTAGATAAATCAGATCCACTGTAACTCCCAACCAGTTCTTGGGGACTGTAGTACCAGCGCAAATTTACCACATTTTTGACTCATTCAAACCTTCCAGCTTCCTGTCGCCTTCATTAGTTTTCGTCTACCCATTCTACTGGCTCCCCTTCCATCATTTTAATGCCATATCTCAGGGAGTGTTTGCGACTTATTTGGGGGACTGCTTGATCAGACAAAATATTACAGTTCAATCAGTTTCTTTTCTCTGGTAGAAGCTGTATGGTAGACGTTAAATGTAACGTTCTGGAGCTGCTGTTAAAATTTCACTTGGAAATTGTTTTTGTCAATATGACCTTGGAGCGTCTCACTCCATCAATGACCTTGTACGTGACGTTCAACTTCTGTCAAGCTGTATATCTCGGCAGAGGATAGCGGCACAAATCAGCTGATTGCTGCAGTTTGTAAGGTGTTATCGTGGTGTTGTGTTTGGGCTATTCTACGTTGTTTTTAGTGGTTTTTTCGACGGAAATACGGTTTACATACCGTATTTTAACGAAAAATCGTGTAAAACTTGAGAATAACGGTCGTTTTCAGTGTGTTTAAAGATGCTGTCTTTTCATCGAATTGACATGCTGAGGCGCATAAGAAATGTCAGAATTCGTCGGAAAATGTCAATTATGATAGAAAATGCTAAATAATTCCAATTTTTTAGTGTATTTTACTTAAATGATGAGGAGATGTTTAAATATCGAGGTAGGTATGATTTCATGATCTTTACCAAATCTCACAGTAAGAAAGGAAACTGAGTTGCTTATTTCGTCAGATAACGGTGAAGAGGCAGTCGTTTAACTGGTAGGTACTATGTTTTAAGTTATTTATATAACTCACCAGTTTCTCACTAAATTTTTATCATCTTTAATTTCCAGATTATGGTCTTTACTTCCTCAATCACTCAATACATTTAGACATTCTAATGGGATTAAAAAGGATAATATTTGTGTAAATGATGAAATATTTGTGATATTACGAATGTATTTATCGAAATAAATATTGTTTTGAAAATTTTTCACTCCATTCATACACTATTAATACTTACTGTTTGTGGAGTAGCGAAGTGATGCCAGTGTAGAACACGTAATATTCGTAAAATGTCATATTTACACGTGGTTGAATTTGGTCACGATGGGGTACTGCTATTGCTTTTGAGTAATTGCTTTCGCTAGGAAACCTTAAACAGGCGATATGCACAACAAAAGCCTATCTAATGTGTTACCGTATTTTATGATAACGAAATAATCAATGAAGTTTAGTGACGTAGTCAACTAATGCACGAGTCTAAGCGTTGATGTGATCATGTAAGAGCTTATTGATAGGAAATGATAACACAAGAAGAATAATGTAGTTATCTCTTTATTACCTAATGATTTCCTTTGAGATAGTGGTGTTAAACGCAACACAAGAATAACAGACTATTTGTAATAAATAGGATGTGCGTTGCAGAGTGTACTTGAAGTACCTAGACTACCAATACAAGTCGTGTACGTATAGAACCTACGTTTGCTAGGTTATGTTTCATTATCACAGTACGAACATATTTTTTACGGCCACTTTCTTAACAATCGTGAATAATAATATTATACGCAACCGGGCTAAACGTAACTGAAACACTTTACGTAAGGCTTAATGACGCATTGAGGAAATAATAACAGTTTAAGACTGACGCATTTCACATAAGTATTACTACGTTGCCTTTCATTCTCGTTAACTCTGCAATGTCCTCAACATGATAGGTAAAAGAGACAAAGTTAGTCGACATAAATGCATATATTTGCAAGGAAACAACAATCAATGAAGTTAAAAATAAATCAGAATCAAAGAGTACATATCTACACTAAAAAGAGTGAATAACAATCCAGTGAAAAAAATCACAGTTGCAGAGTTTTTATAGCTGCATCATAGCTATGGTGACTAGTCATCATAAGTTCACCAAACACTCTGTCCGCAACATCTGTATCAGTTTGTACCCGTTGGTAGTGATGTTCGACCAGTCTGCAGTTTTCGTCACCACCAGATCCGTTCGGAGAAACTGGATGAGAACTTTTCAAGCAAAGATTGACATTGTGTTCCTTCGACCGTATTGAGAAATATCTGAGGATGGATACATATCAGATAAATTTATCTTACCTCTGGTGAACAATTCCTTATCTTAGCTACACTGAATATGTGAACAAGGGAGGGAACAATCACAGAGTTGGAGAAATTCCATAGATTAGTCTTCTATATATTCCACGATAGATTTCAGGAATTGTGTAACTTCCAAATCACCTGTCACATTTTCTCTTCTGTAAAAAGCAAATATTATACAAGTGACTCTTATCTATCCGTTACAACCAACTGAAAGAGATAAAATCTTCAAACTTTATACTTCTTTGATTAAGTTAGCCAGGAATATTCTCCTCGTGAATGGATCAAATGCTTATTACATCTGTGAAATTTATACACATGTTAACTTGTTCCCTTCGGCTAAAAAATATAATGTCTATTCGCTTTTATTATTGTTATTTCAAAGCCCGCCTCAGTAACGTACGGCACGTATTAGCCGCAACGTTTACGCAAAGGAAAGTCTACCAATCACAGTGTGCGTAAGTGACCTTCAAGTGCTCAGCCTCTCCGTAAGCCATTTGTGCCGCTATCCTCTGTCGTATATCTCTTCTGAAAACAAATAAACTAATTCAACCCTCTTTTACCGGACTCGAAAGGATAAATCTTCTGGGCAGCAGTCTACTGATAATCTAGCCCCATTCCAAAACGCCGAGAAGCCAGTGACCAAGTTTTATATGCATTATATATTGAATGAAAGCTATGTTTAGAGTGGGAAAAGTCATCTGAAACTCTGGAAACGCGCAAAGTTTAGTCCTGTTAACTCCTGCAACAGAATTGAAGGCTACCGGAAATTTCACCTTGATAAGGTCGCTCAAGGTTACCCGTTCAATTGAACCACGTTTTTCTGCGGCTTACATGATTGTTGTCCATGAGGAAGAAAGACTAAAAGCGAGCAACAAGAGATTGTGGTCTGTCAGTTGGAACTACAAAGGGTCATTATTAGCTTCATGTGGAGAAGACAGAATAATTAGACTGTGGGTTAAAAGTCAAGACAATTTGTGGGGACCATCTTTCTCGCTTCCTGAGGCCCACAAAAGATCTATCAGATGTATAACCTGGTCACCTTGTGGTTCCTATGTGGCTTCTGCAAGTTTTGATGGTTCGGTTGCAATTTGGAAGATACCTAAGGAGGTTTCAGAATTGGAGATGGAGGCATTGGTGACTTTAGAAGGTATGTTTGTGTCGAGTCGGTGATTGTTTTGTAATGCTTATTTTATAACCAGCCAGCAGTTATCATGTAATTTTCCAAATGGTGTCTCGTTTAACATTATTATTATTCAGGATTTTTATAAAGAAATTACTATTAACTCAATACGCCCATATGTTCCGCTGAGAAAGCAAAGAATCGATACTACTATTAATAATAGTAGCCATTACGCAATCATACCGTTAATTTTCTGTCCCGGAAGACATGTGGGCTTGTCTTGTCCTTGTTGAGAATCCAGGATAATTTTAAGAATCACACTTTTAAACTTGCGAAATTTTGGTATTTTATCTATTCTGTTTTTGTTTGTTAGAAAACATTCAGTACTCATAGTTATAAGGATAATGGGTGTTTAAAAAAATATAATATTGTCAAAACTTACATGCCGTCATAAGGAAAGTTGTCTTCCATCCCATTCGCTGTATAATTTACCGTCGTATGGTCGAATATCTAGGGCATTATGGTTTCCAGAATGACAAGACTATAATCTTAAAACTAATTTTTGTAGATTGGGCTGTTGCAGCATATAAGTCAGGCAATTTATGTGCACGGATATATATATATATATAATGCTTAGGTAGTAGGGGTGTAAGTCCTATATTTCGTAGTATACATTCCGTTTTATTTCTTCTGACGGGCATCCATATTTAAGATTCTCATGTTAACACGTTGTGTCCTTCCGAACTGGAGGAATGTATGCACAATGTTTATTGTTTACCAGAATTCGAATTTATTCACTGAAAGCTAAAAAGGACTCTCTTTATGCTTTATTGTTAAACACATTTTCGTGATATTACTCTGATAAATTTAGTTGGCTAAGCCTAATATATGAAGATGTTTATGTTTATGCCTGTGATAGTGAGTCTTTTATCATTAATTTCTCCTTCTAAATATTAGGACATACGAGCGAGGTTAAATGCGTTGCTTGGTCCCCTTCTGGTAATCTTTTAGCCACCTGTGGTCGAGATAAAAGTGTATGGCTGTGGGAATTTGATGATGAAGAAGACGTGCAGTGTGTTAGTGTGCTACAACCCCATTCTCAAGATGTAAAATCAGTAGCGTGGCATCCGCATGGTGAGGTAGGTTTGGAGGGGGTAACAGTAGTACTGCTTTACACAATCATTTCTGTGCTCTTTCTGTACCAGGTTTGTATATATATATATATATATATATAGTTTCAAGTGAACTGTAAATGTTATTACTCCACACAACATAATAAGTGTAGCTGCATTTCTTAATGTTAGTTTTCCTCATATTTAGCCGTTTAGTCAGTCTGTAAATCAGAAACCATCAAAATGAATGAACAAATAAAGGAAAGTCACACAATTAGGTGCAAAGATGGGTAAACATTTAGTCTGAATTTTGCTCGTTTGTTGGAACTCAGGTCTCGGAACAGTTCTTTCATGTTCCATGTTATAAGCCACACTTGTGTGAGAGCTGTCAATACTACCTAGTCACTAAGGTGGTGTGGGATTCGAACCCGAGACCCACTGGCTGAAAGCCAAATGGCAGTGGGCAACATCTCCACATTTAGTTCGAATACCATCGCAAAAGACTAAGTATAATCTTATTCCCTTAGTTATTTTACTCCCTCAAGATGTAGCTGGTATTCTGTATGAGAGACACTTGGTGAAATCGATTTGTTCATTTTATAATTCACTGCATTAGAATATTACGTTGAGCATATGTATACTCTGTGATATTTCCGGATTGAATAGCTGGAATATTTCGCCTCCCTAAATGATTTTCATGGCTTACGCTTACATACTCGTGGTTACTGCTGTAGCAGTAACACTACATGGTTTGTGTGTGACTGTAAGAACTAATTCTCAAATTTTAGAAATCTGCCCAACATATTTTTAATCGTGAGGGAAATTCATTGTTGCCTATTTAAGCGAACTCAACAAGTAGCCTTGGCCGTCATTTTTATGAAATATTCGACAAATAAGATGATAAATATAGAAAGGAAGACGAAATTTGCAGTGTAAAATGATATCATTCTATTTCACAGGTTCTCATCAGCTGCAGACTACCTGAAATTACAATGGTTATATAAATGATAATAACGTACTTTAATGTTTGAGTAGTAGTAGAGAAGAGATAAAATTGACGCATCCAAAAAAGAATGAAAGCATTACAATTTTTAGTTTAAGTTATCATTATCAATTTATACACTTTCAAAGTTGAAAAGAGAGGGGAGGGGTAAGACAGAAAACAGAAAAATTGATTAACAGAAACAGTGTTAGCTTATAGGTTCACATAGCAACTCCAAAAAACAAAGGCGGTTACAGTTTATGAGATTAAGATTTGTTCACTGAGTTGAAATCACTGAATTAGATGACTAATTATTGTAATCAAAATCAAAATTCAGTTACCAGCTGAATGAGAACCTGTGAAATAGAATAATATCATTTTATACTGCAAATTTTGTCTTCCTTTCTTTATCGAAATTTATCAAGGGAACCAGTTGTATGAAGATGATAAATAACTTGGTTCTTTACTGTTGTATCCCAGAGTTGATTGGAAAGGTTTTAGTAAGTCTTACTATACAATGTAAACTTATGATCTTGCCAAAAGTCATAAACCATGATAACTGAGATATGTCAACAGAAGTAATTTAAATATAGTATGGTGGTAGATGAAGTTGGTTTGTAGCAGGTTTCCAGTCAGCAGACTGGAGGTATAATTTAGCCTTCAGTTCACAAAAAAGCTTTAGAATATACACAGTAAGCATATCACATTGCTAAAAGTATTAAAAAAAAAATAAATTCTGTGTGTTCGTTCAACCCCAGTTAGTTGAATCGTAGTGGTCAGTCCAACATTTGGAAAAAGTCTTACCGAATTGGGGCATTGTACATTGTATCGTTGAATTCTTATCAAGGTAGCTTTGATTAGTAGTTTATTGCCATAAAAGATTGATGTGTTATCACTTTCAGAAAGGTAGTCTAACTTTTTTAGTGGGACATCTCAGCAGAAAATCATATTGACTGTTATGTGAGATTTACATTTTTGTGTGACTAGTTCTTATTACTTTAATGATGAACCCACAAATAATTAAGTGCTTTGAAAAAGTTCATGTTTTTCCATACTACTGTCGTGTATGAACTGTTAAAAGTAGTCTAAGGGTTTCTGTAATTGCTGCTGGAGGTGTGACAAATGAAATGTTTAGTAGTATTTGAGAGCCAAAATCGAAAATATGAATTTTACATCATTTCTCGTCCTATTGTGATATCACGTCAAGCCTATAGTTCTTTGGCGCATACTTCTCTGTGGGACTTGGCTTTCAGTTATTGCCTATGTCCACTGACCAAAATGTATAAGTAATGCCGATGTTTAATAGCGAGTATTCTGGCAATGTGGAGATTGTCTTTCAATAAGTGATCTCATTTCGAGATATAATCTGCGATAGTATGTACATCTGTTGTAAATGTCGTCCCCGCAGCTATCTAGTATTTTCTGCCCTCGGGACTAGTTGGAAAAAGAATTTTCGGATGAAGGATACTTGTGTTGGTGCTTCACAACTTTTGGATGTTCGTAAGATGATCTGACTCAGCAGTACAAATTATGAAGTGACTCAGAAGTGAAGTCAATGGTGATAGTGGTCTACGGTTTCCTTGTTTGTTCTATTATTGGAAGTGTTATAAAGTTTTCTTTCTCAATGGTGTTGTCTTATTGGTCACTGTGGTACGTTTCTTGACACCAATGCTACTAATTTTGAATGATAATTCTGCACAATCACTAACGTAGTGAAGGTGTGACTCATTGGTCAAGCTGCTCGACTTCCAATCAGTGGGTCACAGGTTCCAACTTCGCTGTACCTACCAAGGTTTGCGTAGTCAGGTAGCATCACATTAGCTTAATGTCAACTGTGTGGAATTGCAAATGGTTGTTGGGTAACATTTATTTTATTTTTCATTCAAGGTCATTAGCTTGTATTTGTTCTTTATTATTTTTGTTTGTAACATCTTTTTTCGTTCAGGTTTTAGTCTCTACAAGTTACGATAACAAAATAAATGTTTACAGAGAAGAAATTGATGATTGGACTGTTTTTGTACAGTTGAGTAAGCAATAATCACCAGGATTTTTGGAGTACCTTTTGTACATATATACATGTATATATATATATGTGTATAGAAATATACATATATATATATCCATAAGATTCTTAAAGTACTTTATAATGTAGTGAACCCCTCAAAATATCAGTAAGTGTTTATTTTAGGAAACTGATTGATGTTTCATTTCGATTTTTGAATAATAACATAATTTTGGTTGGTTTGAGGCAGTCGATAGGACGCCTGAGATCTAGGTTTCTTGCTTTCTGGCCCTTATCAACAAGGCATATCATCAACCTTGAGGGCACTGACTTCTTTTCTGAGATTCAGACTCGTGTCACTCCCTAGTGGCTTCTGAATGTATGCTGATGTAATACAATAAAAGACAGTAAATGCATCACCTGCCCACAATAGCTGTAGTTGAATAATTCTGTAAATGTGTAATTAAATTTGAACTAATAACTTTTTATTCACTGCTTTTATGCTGCACCGACCAGTGTTTAATATTCAGTTACTAGTCAGAACTATAATGCATAAGGTTTGTAAATCATGTGGATGTCTTTTGTGTGGTTGTATTCTCTGATCTAACTGGTTTAATTACGAAGCTTTCATTATCCTTCCAGATAACTTCCTCAGTGCTAACTTCAATATATAAAAACACTGGTCAAAAGAACTAAGATATGCTGCAGTACCCTACTCTTAAGGAAGATGGGAAAAAATATCTCTGGTCCATCTCTATAAGAATGAATACTCCCGCCAATTTATCAAGAAGTACATATGTTCAAATTAAATTACCGGTAAAAGACCATCCTTGAAAACCACAAGAAAATTCATTGCATTCCATCATATTTAGAGATATTTTGAAATCACTTCTAGGAAGAAGACAAGATCAACTATAAAGTAAATTGTCCCAGCTGTAACCAAAGCGAATGCCATTTTCAACCTCATATCTAAGACCATTTCTAGCTGTCAGAAGACACGATGTGCACATTTTCTTGTCAACAAGTATGGAAAAGTAGAGACACCAATGTGAATAGAAAAATGCAAAGATTCTAAATTGCAAAAATACTAGAAACACCGAAAAATTGGTAGATCAATCTTCACTCAGTATACTTTTTAACGTAGGTTAAATTGATCTATAGAGAACAAGTTACTTAGCGAAAAGCCTGAATACCAGATCAACGAAACAATCAATACCAATACATAGCACAAGGAGAAGAAATCGTTTGAGCGTGATCGATCACAGGAGGAATACTTATATCACTCACTTCACACTGGTGTTAGCACTGAAGATGTCGTCTTGAAGGACAATGAAAAATTCACAATCAAAACACTCAACCCCGAGATACAACTACGCAAAAAATATTCATAACTATATTTCATTTCTACTTTTAAGTGCCCTGTGATTATAAAACACTTAATTATCCGTAATTTAAGGGAGAGAGCATTATATCGATTTTCCTTATCTGTAGTTGAGTATATCTACATCATATGGAAAATCCAGTTTATTCGCTGCAGTGTCAGAGTATTCAGTTATAATGGGCTGATTGACTTGTATGACAAGGAGCAGGAGTGCTCATTAAGTTAGGGAGGAAACTTTATTCGTGATCAAGTTAGAAGTGTGATATTTTGATCGAAGGAGTATATCTGATAGAGAATCGTTTGGTAACTTTTTTTGTAATGCTGTGTACTGATATTAAATGAGTAGCATATCACTGTATATTTATCTAAAATTGTTTAGATTTTACCTGTAGTGGTATCTTGAAGCTAAAGAGGTTTTAAAATATTGTCTTTGACTGGGATCATCTATTCATAATCATGCCCGTATCAAAGATCTATACTGGTAGCTCCTTTTATGTATCAAGACGATTCACTTTCTACTCACGGAGGTTACTTTCTCGTATGGATTAGATCTAGATCACACACGGACTGTAGTTCTAGTAGTTGAAGGTGATAAAATTCTTTCTTTTACCCACTAGGGAATTCATATCAACTGTAAATAGTGGGTTATGTTGCTAAACTTTTGTAACTTCAAATCACTACGCAGTTACTTCAGATGTTAAATTATTCGTAACTGCTGTAAAGAAAGTAGTACCTCCTACTTGATATTTGCAACGTATGCTCTTATGCAAGAAAAGCTTGGATAGGAGGAATTTACCACCTGATAATATTCTTGTAAAATTTCATAAGTGCGTCGGTGGCACAGTGGTTAGGACTCTCGCCGACCATGCACATGGTCCGAGGTTTGAGCCCCTGCCGGCGCACACCCGATATCTATGGTCGGCCTGTGAAATTTGGGCTACCGATATCCATGCTGAAAATGCCATACTTGTACTGAAAATACGGTGTGGCATCAAGCTGTAACCAAAATAAAAATAAAATAAATAAGTTACACTAGAGTTTTTAGTGAAGTTGCATGAACTTTCTGGATTGCATTTTTCATGCTGGCTTACCGTGATTATAATATTTAACGAAATTTATTTGTGTACTTGTAAGTAGTTTGATATGCCTAGGAAATATTTCTTCATTATTGCTTGTTATTGAGTTGGTATGCCGTCGTATAAGGTGATGTGCGATAGAGTAGAGTTGAGGATATGATTCTGAATATGCCTTTGAGTGTGCTTTTTCTTCTTATTACTCAACCTTTGCACATCTTCATTATACTCTTACAGAAATTATATTCGTAAAATCTCAGCAAAATTGAAATGAGTAATTCCAGCGTTTCCCACTTCTTCAGGGAAATTAATCGAAATTAAAATAACAAAGGTTTATGTAGAAAAAGGACATCTTTTGTTTTAAAAAAAGCTTTGTCTAGTTATATGAGTCATGAAACAGGCATCAAAATGTAATAAACAAAATTGCATGAACTGTGATCAAAATTTAACCTCAGACTTACAAATATTAGTCTACTTTTGTTATACAATGGTGTGTGTGTGTGCATGTGTGTATGTGACAACAATTGTAAATCATTTGTTAGCCTCTCTGTAAGAAGATACAGACAATCGGGCATTTCGATCAAGTATGATTGATTTGTGATACATATCCGTTTTTATTTATTAATCAGGACTTGCCATGCATCAGCTAACGTCATACCTTAAGGTCTGTTCAAACTTTTGGGATTCACCCATATATGTGCGGCTTCCGCAGTCAATCTTTCTTTATACGAACTAAAACCTTTCTGTAGAACCTCACTCGTATCAAAGTCGATCTGGTGTCCCATTTCTATCGAGTGCAGTGCAGCGTACTCTGTTCTCTGATATCACTTGCATCTGTCTCCACGCCTTCCAACAAGCTTTTATTTTATTTCCTCTTCATATAATTCTCTACGAATCACTTTAGGGTGTTCTGTTAGTCGCTTCACACTCTAGTTCCACTTAACGATCTGTCGTGTGATGCCACTTACAGGTCTCGTCAGCATGTGTCCAATCCATCTCCATTTCCTTCCGCATATGTTTTGCACAGTAGGTTGTTGTCTGGCTTACTATCCGCCGTGGTTCCTTGTTGCTTCTGATATATGTCTGACCATCTGGTCTTTGTTACTGAGGGAACGCAGTTGGTAATAAAAGTCTGCAAGTAGCCTGCTGGAAATGATTTTGGTGACGCGCATGCCAGTCCTTTGAACCATACAGGAGCACTGACTTGAAATTTTTGTTGAAAATTCCTATCTTGTTACTTGTACGAGATGCTGTAGATATCCCCGTATGTTTCAGAGTAATGAATACCCGTATTACCTTCCTGATATGCTTCTAGCTGACTTTGACAGTCTGTAGTTGGTATGTTGCTACCGAGGTGGGTTTAAGAGATGACTTCTTTTCAATTTCTCCCATTGGTCGTGACTGGTGGTTTTTGTTAGTCAGGTGTCTTCATAGCCACTGTTTTGTTCATGTTCATTTGAAGTTCAGCTTTTGCAGTCTCATCCGCCAAGTTGTTGGTTTTCACGTTTAAATTTCCGAGCTCGCGTGACGCAAGACATAAATCATCCGTGAAATCCAAGTTTTCAGGGGTCAGTTTGTGTTCGCGTCTCCTTATTCTCCATAAACCACCATATGATCCACTCTGTCAGAATCAGAAAGGTCATCGGCAATGGTAGGCAACTTTGTTCTACTCTTTTCTTCATTTCAAATGCTTTGATGAGCTTCCTGTTGTGAGTTACCTATCATGTGGTATCATCATAGTAGCCCCATGAGCTTCACTTTTTTCCTGGTTGTGGATTGGGTAGCAAACTAGGTAATGTTTTGCCTATTTAGTAGCTCAAAAATATATTCTACGTTTTCCGTCTGCAAAAATAAATTCAGGGAGTTGTTGAGTTTCTGGAGAATCTTGTTTCGTTTTCAAATGTGTAGAATTTATTCATTCATCTTGTCTAGTGAATCATGGAGTGAAGGTAATGTACCCAGTTAACATCTCTAACGGTGAGCCAGCAAATACACAGAAAGAAATGAAAATGGATTAAACATACGCTGAGTAGATTTATAAGTGACATCATACATCAGGCCATCGAGTAGAAGCCAAATGGAAAACGCCGAGTTGGGTGTCCAAGGATGATATGGAAAAAATCATGTGGAGAGGAAGTGAAACCAGGGAGTGATTGAACCAAATGAAAGCGATGATAAAGGATGGAGTGCAGTGGATATGCGCCAATGACTTCCTATCTTCTATTCAAAACTCAAGGAACAATTGATGAGTAGCTATTAAGCTTCTGAGAGTCTAAAGAATAAGAGGAGCTCACACACAGTACAACACTGTTAAGATAAATGTATTCCGATTATATTTTATGCACATCAGAGTAACATTTAGATAACTGATATGGATTATTTGGCACACAGTTAATATTCCTTTCTTGTGTGGTTGTGATTTTCTCTTTTTAGCTGGACACAGTTCAACTGTATGGAAAGCAGAGTTTTCACCGTCAGGAGATATTCTAGCGAGTTGTAGTGATGATCGATGTGTCAAACTTTGGTCGTGGGATGGTAAGCTTCTTGGTATCTTTATTTAGCTTTTGAGTTTGTGCGCTGATGTATTTGATTCCAAGTTGTGAATAAATCAACTGAGACTAGATAAATATTGAAAACCGGGAAAAAAGCTAGACAACTGCTTCAGACAAGTTTGCGACACCGTAGCAATGTATATTCATACATATAACGCAGAGCTATTGGATTGCACAACAGGCACGCTACAGTTTAGCTGATAAGCTGAAATCAGTCCATTGGCCAATACGTGAATTCTGACTGTTGTTAATTTGAGACATTGATGAATATCTGCCATTACATATATATATATATATATATATATATATATATATATATATATACTTAAATTACACTAAGCGCATGGGATACAGAAAGTGTTATTATTGCAGTCAGAATTGGGAAAGTAATCGGTGTGGAGATCCACATTACTCAGCACAATCAACAAGATCTGAATTTTTAACACTGACCCCGGGTTAGTCACTGCTTCTGTACGATTCAGAGACTTGATATGTGCGTCACCAAGAGCATTTCCCATAAGCTACTGCAGACTTTCATCAAAATCTGCCTTCTTTCACCACTGAAGATCAGATAGCCTGCGAGAAGAGATAAGCGAACAACAGGGGAGTTTGGCAGGCTGTAAACCAACCAACAGCCTATTGGTAAACATATATGGCATAGCGTAAATGGATATGGTTTGAGAATACGCTGAGGTGACTTTCAAGTGACTAGCACGACAGATCCTCGAGTGGAAGATGATGAGTTGGGAGTCTATAGTTGACAGGGAAAAGGTCATGTGAAGGAGAAACGAAAGCGTACGAGGTAGTTGTGGAGCCGGTTGAAGGTCATGTTGGCGAAATATAAGTCTGTTGCGTAGGTCCTAATATTCCACTCGGAAAGGAACAACTGAATAAATAATAATAATTATTATTATTTACAATATTTGCGCGCCCTTCTTACAGATGCATGCAAATCTGACATAGTTCCGTAGTGTATCGAACTACCAAGGACTTAAGCTGTTTAGCGAAACAAGAAAAATGAGCGTTTTTGAAAATGTTTCATTACAGTAATCTGGCTTGTCATTTTATAGAAGTATGACTAGCAATGCTAAGGAAAGTTATAAGTGGGAGAGGGATTATGAAACGCAAATATAGCCGATGTGTTAGACAGTACCATTTTGGACTGTGGAGATGGTAAATTGGTTGATGTGAAATGAAGTAGGGATAACAGTGTAGAAGATATAACTGGTTTCTATTACTCGAAAGGTTCTGAGAAGGGAATACTGCTTTCCAATTGTGATGCAGATAAAATTAAATCTAGAGAGAGTTAGACAGAAATAATAAAGTGTTAGCAAAACTGTCCCTAAATTAGTACAACAATGGTAATACACAAAACCAGCTGTACTGTTTTTTCACGTGGTTTGTTACAATTCTGGGTGTTTTTATTTTTATTCACTTAAAATGTTTTCTGTGTTTTACCACATATAATCAAATTAGTGCTAGTAGAAAAATAATTTTGTTGTTTGTTTGTTTGTTTGTAAAATTTCAATAAACACAGACAGATATTTTGTTTCAGTACAATGTAGTCATTGAATATGCACTTCCTGGCAGCAACATATTTTCTGAACACATTCATTGTACACTAGGCTAGTTCTATCCACATACCATAAACTGTATAAGGGGGTGAACGGCTGATACAATGTAAATAATTTGGTTTGGATACAACTATGACTGAGATTCAAAAATTAATAAATACAAATTCAGAATGAGATTGATGCCATTAAAACGTAGTTGAATCAGAGGATATTTAGGAGAATGGAGATGTAAAGTTTCTAACTAGGATCAGCCAGGGTAAACAAAGATAACGCGTAGGTTTCTTCAGAGTCATGGATCATTATTATTTTTTAATTATGAATTAACACAGATTCCTGACTTTACTGTCCTTAGCTCTTAGTACAGTTTGATGGAATTTGTTGTGTATTTGAAAGATCTGTTTAGAGAAGATTTATGTTTCAGTTTGCAAGAATTTTTATGAAAAGAATGAAAAAGGAGTTATGCTGTATATTGGCTAGCTACCACCAGTCAAGTAACTTTGTGTCAGTCTGAGGGCATCGTTGAAGCGTTGGTACTAGAAGCTGACATGTCAACAGAGACTGAACATTTCCGTTTAATAAAACCAGTCAACGGTAGATTCAAAATAGTATACATGTATGTATATATATTATTCCTAATCAATCTCAGTTAGTACTACACAGCTGTGTTTTCCTAGTTCGGGACTTCTCAGTAATGTGAACCCCTGACCCCATGATGGTTCGAACTAAAAACTTTGTCTTACGAGCTATCGGAGTAGAATCTATTGGCTCATTAGCTACCGCCTGAAGTAGATTTCGTCATGAACATAAAGGAGTTATGGGGTCATTGGAAATCGAAGGGTACTGGACAGCTGTTTCGTTCCAGTGTACTTCCGAATCCCAACAGGGATCAAACCCAGCACCTCCAGGTTAGGAAGCGAGATCTTTGACCGTTCAGACGCTGGCAAGCAATCCAGTGGCACATGAATTTTAATTCCTACCATTTTGGGATATATAGCGCAACGGCCAGCTAGGGTTAAAATCCACTGGTCATTGAATTTCAGCTTAAATTACTGAACGGTCAACAAGCTGGTCTCGTAAGTTGGAGATCCTGGATTCGATCCATGATGATTTACTAATTGACGGTTGTTTGTGATGAAATCTAAATTAAAATTAATCCAAGTTCCAAAATGCCCATGATCTAAATTAGCTGTAAATGCCTAGTACACTATAATGGGATGTGAGATATTAATAGTTACTCATTGTGAAGTCCTATTTGTTCTAGACTTTTGGCCTGTTGGCACTCATCAATTGCTTCAAGGTAAACCATGTTTGCCCCAGCGCATTCAGTTCTGATTTCAGCCGGTAAGCTTTATTGGTGAAGTCTGATTTCGGGAAATAAGTGATATATTCGAATACTGGCTGACATATCAGACTATTTGAAGTTCTTGCTGGCTGGCGATGTGCATATTTGCTAAGAATTTCATTTCAGCGACTTCCATACTATTTGATAACCTTGTGATTAGTTACATAAACAGATTTAGTTAGTTCATTGCATAGTATCAAGTGATGAAGAATAGTTGTGTACAATTAGCATATCATGATTTTCTGGGTAGGATATGAGAAAGATCATTGATTCAGTGGCTCGATGGTGAACATGTTCTCATTGGCTTCGGTTTTCCTCTCACTAAACCTTTGTGCTAAATGAAAATCACAACAGGACTTTTTATCAACCTATATCCATGTTTATTGTTTGAAATTTTTTGAGTTTATGTTTTCTGTGGAAAAAATATGTGTGACGATGGTACAGCGTGTTAACTGACAACTACTTGTGTATTTTTCTCCTATCATCTCACGGTTTAAGTCAAATCGTACTTAGCTTTTAATTCATTTTACATGTTGGCATACAACAAGTGGAAGGTATGCTTTCTGTTATACCCATATGCATTATATGATTAAACAGCAGTCAACAAATCAGTGTTATTTTAAAGGATGATTTGTGGGTTTTATATAGTCATAAGATAAATGTTGACACTATGTGATCTAATTTTAGTAGAAAAGTGGTTTTTAACATCACTTTGTTTGTCCACAGCCATACACGAAGTCATTTTCAGGATTATAATCATTGCTTACTTTTTCTGCTTCTGAATTATTGGTTAACTAGCATCCATTGTTCATGCGCCACAAACTAATCTTCTTTTCCAAAGATTGACTAATTCGAGGAGGCCTGCTTAAAACTTGGGCTACCAAAAACTTCCATCTCTTTATTGCATATATCTTCTCTCTGTTTGTTTTAATCGATTAGGATATGACCTCTATTGGTATTATCTACTGTTGTATGTACTTAAAATGTTTACGAGCTCCTGATTCGCAAGTTCCTACTAAACTTGAGAAATGGTCTGATTGTGGGTGGCAACGTGTTCCAATGCATTAAATAACTGTTCTTCAGCTGTATGTTTGGGTCTCAAATCTTACAATTGACTTTCAACCAGATATCGTGGATTTCTTGAAGAATACAAAGGAGATATATCATAATGAAATGGTTTGTGCTTCAGCTCAGAGGCCATCGTGTCACAGGGTATACTTTCAAATAATATTTTACTTGAAGATATTGTATGAAGGGAAAATATCATGCAATAAACTCCTCTGAAAAGTCTGTACATTTTATAAATACTGTCCAGAATAAAGACATTATTATTGTCCTCCCATCTATGGAGTCTGATGTATAACAGTGTTCTGTTTAACCCTTCGATTAAAATTATTGACTTTCTGTGGTTTCATTCACTTGTCTGATATCATGTTAGTCATTAAAGCAAGTGAAGTATTCCAGGATTGTACATACTACTGATCGATATAAGTAGTAGTGGTACTTAGGAACCATGCATCCATTAATTCGGGTGTTTTGAACTGATTCGGTTCTCTGAGATTGGTTGCCCTGAGTGCAGCGCTTGCGGTGAGCTCGATGTCAAGCGAGCAAAATATATATTTTCGGTGTTTAGATCGCTTCTCTTTGGTTAGGAAGCACTACTATTTAACGTGAGTGGTTCCCAACACACACATTTATCAGTCAATAATATACACCATTATTTGGTTCTCAGTTTGTCTTTTTGGTTTCCGACTGATTCTAGTCTACTAGTTGATGTCAGTAACTCAACACATTGAATGTTTCTTTCTGTCATTAAAAACACTTCCCACTTTGATATTCAATCATATAAATACATAAGTAGATGGTTTCACATTTAATTTATACCCTTAATATAATTAAATTGATTAAGAGGCCAATATGTTAGACTTTGATTTTACACCTTTCATTTATCTTTCTGTCTTCCAGGTGTTTGTAGCAAATCATCCTCATGGATATGTATTGCTACAGTGACTGGATACCATACACGTACAATTTTCGACTTAAACTGGTGAGTTTCAATTGTCTTCTTGTATTAATCGTGGATTTTCTTTGCAGTTGATACATACATAGCGCTAAGTGAAGCAGTTCAGTTTAACAGGATTTTCTTCTCAATTAGCTTTCGAAAACAATCTAACTGGGGACACAATAAATAGAAGGATGGTTCCAGTAAAAAAGTCATCAATTAAGCCCGAGAATATATAATAAAGGTTTGAAAAAGTTCCAGAACCATTTTCGATCAGAGGTCAAAAAGCAACGAACAACAAGATGAAGTTACGTAATACAGCAAATAGGGATTTAAAAATAGAAATAAATAGGAAGTTAGGATAATAAACATGGTCGAATATTAATGATTTTTTTGAGAAAATAGTCTGCATATTATAATCATGACAAATTCAAAGGGTGAACTTCCTTCTTTCAGATACCTGCAGTTAGCTTGAAGTTTTCGGATCGCTAGTACTTCAGTTATGCCCAAATGTTTTGATCTTATTCGCTTCAAGAGGTTAGATCGTATCTTGTATAGGAATGTGAAGGACTTCTAAAGTAGAATTAGGTGTCCTAAGCTGTCAAGCTGAAGGAAAACTTCTGTTCTGCCTTTTCTATGTAGCCTGAGTAGTGTATACAAGCGGACACGTAGTATGACCAATGTACTCAGCTTCGCAGAAGTGAGTGAACTAATATTTGCACGTTTAAGTAGCTTAATAAAACCGAATAGTTGCTTGCAAGAAAACGTCATTCGGAAAACGGTAGCGAGGTATATTTTACTGAGAGATTTTGAAGGCCGTTTTCAGAAAATTTGTATCTCCCTATCCCTTTTAGATTCAGGATTCAGAGGCGGAAACATTTGGGGACAATCTAGAACTTGTTTATCTGCGTCCTTTAGTTTTAGGTTATAGTCTTTGAATCTGGGGGTGGGGAAGCCATTTTTCATCCAGATTCTCCAAACAGTTCTTTGTCAGAGGATTCCTCAATGCATATTTTTTGGATCCTTGATGAAAGTAAATGAATGAATGAATGAGATTCTTTTTTCTGCTTAAGGGGAGAGAACTGTGTGAGTAGATCTTTTCATTATCATTCTTTTTTTCAGAGTTGAACACCAAGGAAATTAAAGGTTTAGTCGAATTCTACTTCTAGAGGGAAGTCTATATCCGGGTGGGCGTTATTGAATGCTTGTAGCAAGTTTTCAAGATTCGAATTCACATCACAAATAATTTAATTGTCGTTGATGTATCTCTTATACAGATGAAGTCCACTGGTTGTTGTTAATAAGATCGTGTTTTCTAGGCTTGCAATAAAACAAAATAAATTAGTGAAAAATCCTACCTAATTTCCGTCCTAAGTATACATCGTGACTATTTTTCAAATCAGCGACGATGCGTGATGGAAACACCCAACCAACAACTATCTAGAGATCTGTGTACTTAGGCGTTATGAACCAAATTAATAAGCATAAGATATTATCAGAACTTGAGGCTTAATGGCTGCATCGGATTATCATCGTTTAGTTCCTCAACTGGTTATTTGTCTCACTCACATACGATTTTACCTTTTGGTTTCTTCAAAAGTGACCCTAGTGGATAATACTCTTTCGCGTTAGTTGTTCATTGGTAGAATGCTTGTCAGCAATGCACTCCTAAATGTCGTCCGGAAAAGAGAGTTGATTGGGTGTTGGGTCAACACCTTCATTCTGTAAAAACAGCCTCACGGCTATTGAAGCTTCAAGGTCTCAAGACTGAAGCCATATGTTTCACTCAAAACTCATGGAGTTTCAAAACAAGTTTCTGCTTAGATTGCTATTGGGTACCAATAAACATGAAGCCTAAGTCTAAAGCATTCGTTTTTCCACACTTTATTAATGATAACGGTAACGATTGTTTCATTAGTAATCACGACTTGACAGTGGGGTTTTGACTCTGTTAGATGTGCCGTTGTGTTTTTCTCTTTCCATTCTTGATGTTATGAAGTAGAATGAACACTAGTCTCTTTTCTCTCTCTTTTTCTTTTATAACAGGTCACCTGATGGACAACTTCTGGCTAGTTGTGGTGCTGATAATAGATTATGTATATATAAAATGCCACTGAATGGTTTGACTTATAATGCTGGTAAACCATGCTTATCAGAACCACCTGTTCTTTGGGGTCATGTTCCAAATGCACATTCAGAAGATGTAAACTGTGTGCGCTGGCAACCTCATTATCATACTGCTGATAATCACCATAAGGAAGAAGATGTATTAGACTCTCATCTAATGCTTACAACAGCTTCTGATGATGGATGTATTAAGTTTTGGTCTATTAAACACGAGATGTAACTCTCCTTTTTTCTGTACATATCACGAAAATGCAGCCATGTGATTTTTATATTTATATGCACAGCTTATTTGATCAACACATCTATTTTGAATTCGAAAATTATGCCTAATCCTAAATTTCAAGTTAGGTCACGGATTGATATCAATTAGAGGACTACTAAAAGTCGAGAAATACTCAACAACTGTTTCAACCTAGTTTAAGTCGCACTTGTGACCCTACTGGGGATCGAAACTAGAACCTTGGGATTACGATGCAATCCCGATGACAATTCAATCACTTTGACGGAACCCAAGGACGGATGGAGAACTCGAAACTAGGACGAAACAGTTTTCCAGTACTTCCTGGTTCTCAGTGTTAATTCGTTATCTTATTTTAAAACTCATCAATTCCCTACAAACCATAACTTGAGAATTTATCAACAGTTGTTTTCTTTTGTCAGATTTGATTGCTGTAATATATTTTGTATTCGAGAATAATAATAGGAATCAAGTGTTTTAAATATACATCCTGCAATATTGTATTTTACTTGGAGCACTTGAGGATCGGAACAGACTTCTCATGTACTAAGCCATGAGGCACACACTTATTAAGTCTAGGAATGGTAATGTCATTACTAGGAGAAATTAAAAAAAATATCGATCCAAGTAATGCGAACGCGAAAAGCAGTGCTGTTTTATTTAAAAATGCCATATATTTACAAGACAAATGGAAGTAATAATAATAAAATAAATTATTATTGTTCCCTTGGATTCCGAGTGAAACATAGGGCTTCAACAACACATATCCTCTTTGCTCTATTTTCTACTGTCCGCTTTGGCTGGGCCCACGATTACCCATAATCTCTGATCTCCTCCTTACACGATGTCTTCCATGTCACCCTCAGACGACGCACTTGTCGTTTCCTATTCGGGTTCCACTCGAAGGCTTGGCGTGTGATTTCATTCGACGGTCTCTTCAGCACGTGTGCAATCCATCTCCATTTTCTTTTGCATGTTTGTTGAACGGTAGGTTCTTGATTGGTTTGTTGCTAATTATTTCTAGCCATTTGATCTGTCAGTATGGAGCAAAGGCAGCTGTTGATAAAAGTCTGCAGTCTGTTGGAAATACTTTTCTTCATGTGCCAATAAAATATATTAGACAGGAAATTTCTCCTTTACATTACCTAAAAAATTCCTGTCAGTTGTAATTAGCAGAGTCAATACTAAATTTAATCCAATTTCTCTAAATGTACTTATCAAGATGATCATAAATAACTCCACTTTGTGATTCACTAGTTGCACGTATTCTGTTTCTCCGCCTTTCCCTGTATTCGTCGATGAAATCGGTATGTGTTCCAGTAACAGGATCGACGAAATCAGTGGAGTAATTATCTTCATGATGAAGATGACCCAAAGATGATAAACTATTGTAACCTGCCCATTCGCATGCATGAATGGTGGTACCAAGAACTAGTGACCTTTATATGAATGGTAAAAGATCATTACTTCCTCACATCTCTTTAATGTAGATATCATTGTACAGTAGGCACCAACGATTTCTCTATCTGTGTGGCAGTAGCTGTCAATTCACTCTTAACAACCGAACAGTAGAAAATAAGAATTTTATCTGAAAGTGATAATTCCGATTTAGAAAAGGAAGTTCCTAGAAATGAGTGAATGAATTATATAATTAAGTAACTTACCATCTCGAACACCTATCCTTCTTCCACAATCTGTACACCTAAATACATGTCTATCAATAGCTTCTGAATACTGTTGGTTATGCATGGACGTGTACGTCTTATCAACCCATTATGGAAAATTGAAATCTGGATAAAATATGCTACTCAACTCGTACACAGTGTGCATAATATCGCTAAAAATTGTCAGATTGTGTGATCCAAAGCATAATGTTTGTGTGTGTGTGTGTTCAAGATCTTTGGTGCATTTTTACTCCCTCGTCGTTATTCTTTAATTTGACTCATTATCGAATACATTTGTATTATGTTAGAACTGGTTTTAAACCGTGTTATTGAGTGTTTTACGGAAGTGAATACAAGTCCCAATGGGATGTGATCCTAGTAGTAACTGAAATGTTAAGATATTGGTACTTTTATAACCTTAAAACGAATGATGCGTTTAGATTCTTCTCCTTGAACGGCTTGTTGTATAAAAATGAAAAAAGATGCATCCTTAGTGGTATACAACTTTCTTCTAAGTAATCCTGAATGACAATTTGAATCGTCGAAATTTTGATTAAATGAACTAAACGTTTTAGTTACGTGTAAAAACAGAAAACACAGAATTTGTATATATATATTATACGTTATATTACACATAAATGTAAATAGAATATAAGAATCCCAAATTGTGAGGTGGTACACCGGCTTGATACTGTCAAAAACACTGTCACTCTTTGTTATGAGGGAAAACAGCAGGGATGTGTTGAAGGTGATCCACAGTCATTAAATAAAATAACGTGAAAATGTACAAATCAAGAATGAAGGGATTTGAATAAACAATGTTTAACAAGGAATGGAACATAAAGCAAATATGTACATTAGACACCGTTTGACCATAACAGGATTAATAGAGACCAAATAGAATAATGGTACATAAAATGAGATCGATATTCTTAGTTACGAAATAGCAAACATGGTAGGAAAATAATAACTACAAACTGAGCGAAGAAATTCATTCCTTTTCAATTCATTCCCCATCATGGGGTCTATACTAATATAGTTTTTGCATCAAAATTATATCACTCATGTGGTTATTTCAGTCAACAGGAGTTGTCAGTTTTAGGTGTGGAGGGTGAAAATAAGAGATTAAAAATCGAAACAATTAACTAGTAGATGTTAACAACAAGATATCTAAGTTTAGAGGGAAGGGTGAAAATAATTACGGAATCCAAGATCAATAAATCTCTAGAGGTTACTACATAATCGGAAAATCTGCGAAATAATGATGACTAAGAGAAATAGAATGACTAAGTAGAATTACCATAGAATACCACGATACATTTATGTAAATTGAATTAGCTGGAATTGTGATCATAATAAAATAACAAAATCAAATGAAGTTTACAAGCGGAGAGGAAAATTGTCTGCAAAACTTACGACATATTATGTGGTTAGCCATGACAAAGAAAAGGGCTGGATAATTTTCTCTCTTGTTCAGTTGAATTCTGATTGCCTCTGTTGTACGTAAAAGTCGTACACGTAGAGTATGCAAAAGGTTCAGTGAAATACGATAATTAACTTTAAAAGCTTCATTAGAGTCAATCTGATATCACGCGGAGCTAGTTGTGTGATCAGGGAAGTTCATTGTACAGTTTCTGAACCTCCCCCATCTTGGTTTCGCAAAGATTAGAATAAAGCTATAGACAGCTCAGTGCATAGCTCATCTCGTCGATACTGGACATCTAGTTGAATCTAGCAAATGAAACAGTAAAAAGGAATTGATAAGAATGCGATTAAGATAAACCTTGTAGCTGTAAATAATTTCCTAAAGTTACCAGTTTATGGTTTTCATCTACTTTTAACACTGAGTTCTGACCTCCACTGACTAAGCTGAAGGTATGCAGTGAAGTTCCTACTCTGTTTGACATGCTGCCGTGTTACACTGAGTTCCTGCGTGATCTTGTGCTAGCTGAGCATGCATCACTGCCCAACAATATTGATACCTAAATAATATTTTTTATTTTGGACGATTTAATTCTTCTGCTTACTAGCTGTTCTATGGTTAATGTCGAATAAGTACATCTAGGGGTTGATGGATAATATACACGTACTCTAGCATCATTACTCAACAATACTCAGTCTATCAGAACCTGTTAACTCGAAGAAGCTCATTCATTGCTTCGAAAAGCCGCATATATTGTATTTTTCTATATCTTTACCAGTGTGCTCTCATAATTCATATCGTTCAGAAATTATTAATCTTCTGTCAGAGGACTAGAAGTTGGAGAACTGAGAATCCAATATATTATACTTTCTTTTATGCAGACGAAAATCTGGAAAATTTAACAGAGATATTCATTTCGAAATTTTTTAAGCCTCCCAAGATTACAGTTAGTATATACTACTTTTCCAATCGTCTGCGGCTTTCCAGCCATGTTCATTATTCAATTGTTGTAGAGTTGTTGACAAGTTCATATATGAGTTTATGAAAATCCACGAGTTCTGGAAGTGACATTAGCTAGTTGTGATGCTATAAATCGTGAATTGACAAAAGTCAGATTTCATGGATCATTGACTTCCATCCTAATGGGTGAATTGTCAGTTTGATGGGCTCGTAACCTGAAGTTCTGGATTCAATTCTCAGTAGGGTCATGGGTACATACTGCTGAAGACTTGCAAACTAAAACGGAACAACTGTCCAAAACTCTGTAGTCTTCAATCATTCTGTAATTGATGCCATCCAATCTGAAAACGATCAAAACCCTACAAACCAACACTTGAAAATTAAAAGATTTAATGAATTCATGAAGTTTGGGCAGAACTACTCAGTCGAATATCCTACATACAGTGTTATATATGCTATGAAAAATACATAGGTAGGAATTTGACTAATAAATAAATCACAATGAAGCAATCCTAGTAAAACGGGAGGTAAAATGTTTTGCAAATTAAGTTCCGATACGTAAAAGGGGTGAAGGATTGTGAGAGACTGAGTGGATTATAGTTCTGTTACATCACTGTAATAAACGAATAGTTTTCGGGGTGAGAACTTGAAAATATTACGAATTCAGCTGTGATGAGTAATAATGATAGTGAAACTAATTAAGACAGTGGCTCAATGGTCTACGAGCTCGCCATATAACCAGAAGGTCCTGGGTTCGAATGCCGGTGGGTGCGTGCCGATGAAGAGTCCCAAAATAGGACGAAACAGCTGTCCAGTACTCCTAGGTTTTCTAGTGGTTCTCTAACTGATGTCAGCTCATGATGAAATCCTCCATGCAATCAAATAAAATCGTTCTGATAACCATACAAATAAAATAATGATAAATGCCGTTGTTG